TACGTACACACACACACACACACACACACACACACACACACACACAATTAAAGAATTGGTGAGGAGAAAAAACAAGAGGGAGGTACTTTTTGTAAAGCAATAAATGTTAAAAATGTAACAAATAAAATTGTTTCATATGACTTCATCTTTCCCCTTTCCCTAAATGCCCTGATTGTTCACCATAACAACGTACACCATTAAAGTTCTATGCATTGACCTCACATAAAATTTAATTCCTTATTATGTACCTTCTGAAAGATAATAGCGCACCATATTTATCCTGTGAATGTCATCTACCTGGAAATAAAAGATTTATTTAATCTATTGGACTTAATTCACAAGTCCTTAAAAGCAAACGTAGTTCTGAAATATCTATGAGGTAACATTGAAATCCAAAAATATACAGTAATTTATGCAACAGTTCAGTGTTTAGAGCAAATCCCAGATATCAGCAGACAGGCAGCTATGACTCTTAACAAGGTTTCTAGCATGTTCCTGAAGATTACTTTGCCAAGTCAAAATTCCTAAGAAAATAATTTACTAAAAAGCCTGTTTTAAGGGGAACCGGTCTTTTTAACACAGTATGTTATCATTCTCCTCCTTTCAGTGTATTAACTATGCACTCAGGCAGCTTTTGGGGAGATGTTTTCCTATTGCTAAACTTCACAAATATTGCAGAGCTGTGGACAATACATACACTGAAAAACAAATACTGCAGTATACAGACGTTTCTTCGTTAGTTCTGAACCATGAGCCAAGATATGAGCAGAAGTTCAGCCCCTCAACTTTGTCTTGGCTATTTCCTACTATTATATTTGACTCTTTCACACAGACTCTGAAGTAAATGTCTAAATTCCTGTGGGGATAGTGCAAGGACCTGAAGTAAGGCTATAAACTCTGCTAAGCCCTGTCAAACTAAAGATAAGGCATAAACTTTTTTATTTTCTCACAAAGTGACATTATTGAGGGACAAGGTGAAAAATCTGGAAGTGAAAAACTTTTTCCAAAAGTAATATAGAGTGGTTACCATTGAAAAAAATCAGCATTTATCCACAGTGGTGTCTGAAATAATCTAAATTTATGAAAACAATGAGGTAAGAAATATACGTGGCACTACGCAGTGGTATGAAATAACTATCTATACAAGTCAACTTTTAAAAATGGTGACCACTTACATATATTACACCAAATTGATTAAATTAACAGCAACGTGAACTCAATGAAAAATTGTGGGTTTAATGAAATCACTAAATCTACTCTAAACCACTGCTCTTTTCATTATAAAAGTTTCATAATGTTACCTGGGCTTCTATTTAGTGAAGCAAACAAAATACCTTTCCAGATGTCCATAGTTAAACACAAAGATGGAGTTTCTGGAAGGTTGACAATGTTAACAACTGAAAGTCGAATATCAATTCCTGGCTTGAAGATCCATGTTTCCAGAAGAAAGATCTTTTAAATGAAACACTCCATCACTATTAATGACATAACATATTATTGGGGTATTTTGTACATTTGATTTTTTTGTAAGCAAAGCTATATTTTCATATTAACAAATAAAATACATTCTCATTCCTGCATATGCTTAATCAAATTTAGTATGTACTCAAACATTGTAGGTCCTAACCTTAGAAGCAGGCCAACATTTTAATGTCCAAGTTCCATTTGGTTCTAGCAAAGCACAATTTACGGGCTGCTGTTAACAGAAGCAGCAGCCACCCTGAATTTGGAAGCAAATTAAAATCATGCTTGACAGCTGTATTTTGAGCATATTTACCCATGGTGATTGTCAAAATCCTATACTGTGAGCTCTCTGACTGGGCAGGGATTCTTTTGTCTTTGGATTACTTGTTTATGCAGTATAACGAGGCCCTGATCCCTGAATCCTTAGCTGCTGCCACAATACAAAATAATACTTATCAGCACGGATGTTCTCCTAGTGTGCACAGTATTTGTGAACTAATTATGAATCGCTCCTTATTAAGCCATGTGTGGAAGCCAATGATAACAGCTCACGTTTCAGAGTATCTTGAGATGTAGCTATCTTTTATTAGTCCCTAAAGCCAAGACAGCTCGGTCAGTAGATAAAATAGATTACCCACGCATAATATTTTCCGCTACGAATTCTTATCTTCTGAGAAGCCATTAAAATGCTAAATAGAAGTATATGGGCAACAGCTGTGGCCACGAGGAGTCCACGGAACCAGTCAGGATGTGCTTAGTACCTCTTACCAAGATGGGCTGAAAGTCTAATACCAACAAGTTCTTTTGGACATAGTGTCCTCTTTGCTTTCTGTCCTTAGCAGACTCACACCAAAAAATGCTAGGAGTACCTTGAGACTTAGCTCAACAATCAGCTTAGTTCAATTATGTACTGTACGCTCATGAAATGAATTTGACCATTTGCTCTTGGATATAGAAGCTAAGCAAGAAATAAATACTCCCAAGTATTCAGCATGGCAGCTATATTGAAGCTTTATCTCCAACTCTGAAAAAGCATCAAAAATTGGATGTTTTCCTCCAGGGCTGTACCAATTACTCATTATGTCAGCTATTAAGTGTGTGCAACAGAAAGAACAGAGAATCTAGATTTATCAGACTTGAACAGCGACTGAAGTGTTTGAGCACTGATGCTCTGGAAGTGTGCAATCATGTGCAGAATACTGTAACTGGACACATGTTAAAATGTTGTAAAACTTACCCTATTTTTCACTAAGTTCTTGTAAACCAGAGTTACAGTTTTAGGTGGAACCAGTCTCTGGAGTTCAAAATAAAATATGTTTCACTGAGAGTGGAAAAAATATTGACTTTCTAGAAACCATTTCCACCCTAGTGTGCGCGCACTGGGGTGAGTCATACATACTTCTTTCCAGTTCATTCACCCTAGTGACTATATACTATGTCAAGCCAACTGTAGCTTATATAATAAACAAGATCTTATGATAAAGGAAGGAATGTCCCTCAGGTGCATCAGTCAGCTAGCTAAACAGTACAGCTGTTTCTGGACTACAGTGTTAGTATTCCAGATTTCTCCAGGCATGTGACATAGTAGAGTGGGGATAAAGAAAGAAAAGGTTATCCTCTACATTTTATAAACATACTTATGGTGTCTACTCATTAAAAATAATATTTTTAAAGTACTGACAGACTAAAGGCCTGATCCTCTTTCCAAGGATGTCAATGGGTGTTTTGGATCTGTGCACAGCATTTATAATTTACTCATCACATTGGTATGCCATAGTGCTTACAAAGGACAGTTGGAGCAGGATTGGGTTACAAGTCAAAAGGCAAGGGGACATTTATGAGGTTTCTGTTTTAAAAAACTAATCCATATCACCGTAGACAGATGAACTGTCTGTTAAATTCACTTTTGAGGGTTTTTTTGGGGGGGGGGGGGGAGGGGGGTCTTTTTTCCCTAGACTAGTATTTTACTGTAGACATATTTAAAAAAAACCAACAACAAAAGGCAAATAGATGCATAGAAATAGAAACATTACTTTCAAACAAGTGTAAAGTAACTCCCTGCACGAATAAGAGCCTAAAACCAGATGAAATTTAACAATTTCAGGCAGCAGGAGTTCAGCGAACAACAAAACGATACTATTTACATGATTTCTCCCACTACCACCAAGTTACCTGGGGCATCGTACAAGCAAATATTGAAAAAAAATCCAACGTAATACAATATCCAACCTCTTAAAACCTCTTAGTAAAGACCCAAGAATGGTATTTCTACAAAAAGAACAGGAGTACTTGTAGCACCTTAGAGACTAACAAATACAAGTACTCCTGTTCTTTTTGCGGATACAGACTAATACGGCTGCTACTCTGAAACCTGGTATTTCTACAAGTACCTTTGAAGTTAAAAATGTGCTTATAACAAACTGAGGAGGGATAAAACAAGATGAATTCCAGAGGTGAGTGAGTGACATACTAGGGACTCTCACAGGAGAGTTATGATCACCTGCTGACCTCAGGCATCATGGTGAAATCCTAAAACTGTGGATGATGTGTGAACATCTATGCAAGTCAATAATTGGCCCAAGGAGCAGGTCTCCAAGGCAAAGTTATGGTATTCACCAATAGTACAAACTTAGTCAATTGGACATCTTATAGGCAGCCAACGTCCTCCTTTTTTCTTTAATTTAAGACCAGGTTAGGGTGACCAGACAGGAAACGTGAAAAATCGGGATGGGGGTGAGGGGTAATAGGAGCCTATATAAGAAAAATACCCAAAAATCGGGACTGTCCCTTTAAAAACAGGACATCTGGTCACCCTAGACCAGGTAAATAAATCACCCTGTAATGAATGTGCATACACACACACACACACACACACACACACACACACAA